CTGATGGTGTGAAGACACTGTTGGAAGACCTGTTCCTCTGTCTCCAGCTCTCTTCCTCACATGGAAGAAATAAACTTTTTTTAAGAAGTGGAAAGAACAATGTATGGAAAAACAACAGAAGCATGTTTTCAAAAAAGGATATCAGGACCAGCAGTTGGCATAATGGCTATGTTATTGAACTCCCATGTAGTCGACTGTGGTTCAAGTCCCGGACCCGGTGGCTTAAACTCACTCCAGGCTCGTGTGCATGCCCAAGATCCCCGAGAGAAGAATGGAGGAGAAAGGATTGCAGGATGGCCATTCCCCCTGGGGGGATGGGGGGGTGATTTCTCCCTTTCTTTCTGGCGAGCGCATGTACCCTATAACAACAACAACAACAACAAAATAAATAAATAAATAAATAAACTCTCAAAAAAATTAAAACAAAAAAAAAAGATGTCAGCGTAATCAGTGCTGGTGCGCTTGCGCTCCGGAGTGTCGCCTTGAACAGCTCCTGCTCTATGCACATCTGCTTCAGTAGCATGTAGATGAGATAGATGAGGGCACAATCATTTGCTGAGTCATTTCAAAGTAACCCAGAGCTGATACTGGATGGCCATTGGGAACGTTTACTTTTTTATTTCTGCTCATTTTAACAAAAATATTTAAACTTTTAGCTTTAAGTAGTCTGCATTTTGTTTGTTTCTCATCCCTGTCTTTAAGTTAAATTGTTGAAGTCATGAAATCATTGGCATAAATGAAAGTTTCTTTATAACAGTTTCTTGCTACTTGTCAATTTCATATATTAAAAGCCCTGAAAAGCAATTGAGAAAGGATGGTATAGTTTGAATTTACCAAGGGTTGAATGATTGATCAGCCATAAGCATTCTCAGCAGGCAAGTACCCCAGGTGGAAGCATCTACATTAAGCCTGTGTTAACCAGCAGGGGGCAGGTTTTGTGACTGGCCAGGTGCTAGCCCACATCTTGTCTCATGTGTTAATAGTGAACAGATCGTTTCCTGCCTAGTATCTCATCTTCTCACTTTACAGGGTATGCATGTGAAACCACTTGAGGTTACACAACCTCTAAGGCAATTTTTTTTCTTTTTTAAGATACCACATTCTTTATATCTGACTTGTCTGTTATAGATGAGACATAATATTGAATCCAAGTCTCCCTTTTCTAGAAAATTAACTATAACTTTACCAGAGATCCCACTTTTACTCCAGTAAGAGGATGCATATGAGTTAAGGAAGCACTGGCTTTACTAAAGGCTAACACATGTTTTTTTGCACTGAAAGCCCATTTCAGTAAGTTTGGGGACAGTGAGGTCAGCAGAGAGCTCCCTGGACTCCCTGTGCCACTCTGGTTAGAGTGGATGAGTCACACGCTCCATCAACGTGGTTTGCATTTTATGATGCCCTGTTAATTTGTTTTAAATACTGGTGGATGGGTCCCCTGACAAACATACCGAAATGTGATCCAAACAGTAAGAACTTGTTGTGATTACCAAACTGTGGGACAATGGAACAATGACATTGGTGATTTATAGTAGTGCTTTATTTCCTGGTACTCTTTGGAGTAATGAGGTGATCTTTGTTTATCTGCATCAGTAGAACAATCCTTTCCCATGGACGGTGAAGATGGTGTTTATTTTTGTATAAGAGCTTCAATGTTGTGAGTTAAGCCAAGCTCACTATGCTGTGCAATGTTGTTGACAGCAGACATTACATTCGGGTTTGTTTCTGTTTTAATCACAAAATATAGACAAGACAGAAAATAAATTCAGGATGTTTTCTCTACTAACTTTTCAAAGTCCATGAACAAAGTCACTCGAGTCAGAGGAAGGGGAGTTCATGAGCACAGTCGATGGTGTTAGTAAAGGCAGTCTGGAATCCTGGCTCTGTCACTTACAAGCTGTGTTAAAATAGAGCAGGTGCATAAGGATTCTAAACCTCAATCCTCATTTATAAATGCAGATAATGAAAATATGCTCAGTGAAGATTTTGTCTTGAGAGACAAATGTAGATAAAACATTTAACCTAATACCTGGCATGTATTATATCCTTATAAATGTTAGTTTTATAGTAGGGCTTTTTTTTTTTTTCCCAAGTGATGATGCAGGATATGACCCACTTTGATTGGGTCAGTATTGATTATTTTTAAGGTTCTTATTTGCACACTAATCTGAATAACTTCATTCAAACTTTTCATCTCAGGATATTAGTAGGAACAGGAATTCTGTCTTCATGTGATAGATGAAAATACTGAAGTTTCAACTAAGGTTAAACATCCCAAGTAATTTCTCAAATGTTATTTTAAGTGGAATACAAATGGTGGATCATTCCAGATCACAGATGCAAGAATTTTGGGGAAACATTTCTATCTATTTCTATCTATCTATCCATCCATCTATCTATCATCTATCTATCTATCTATCTATCTATCTATCTATCTATCTATCTATCTATCTATCTACACATATGTGTGCATTCATGTATGTGAATATATGATGCTTAGTTAGACTTGAATTTCAGAAGAACAAATGTTTTTTAGTATGAGTATTGCAAGGGATATCATTGTACTAAAAAATTATTCCTTGTTTATTTGAAATTTAAATTCAGCTAGGTGCCTTGTGTTTTATCTGATAACCAAATTCCGGGTCATCAGAAGAAAGTAGTCATGGGTAGTGTGAGCAAAGAAGAGTTTGTCTTTAGGACAGTGGTTCCCAACCTTTTGGACACTAGAGACTGGTTTCATTGAAGACAAGTTATCCTCAGATGGGGGGAGGGATGGTTTCAGGATAAATTGAGTACACTATGCTTATTGTGCACTTTATTTCTATTATTTTTGTATTGTAATATATGACTAATTATATAATTCACCATAATGTGGAACAGTGGGAGCCTGAGCTTGTTTTCCTGTAACTAGATGATCCCATCTGGGGATTCCTGTGAGAATCTTATACCACTGCTGAACTGACAGGAGGCGAACGAAGCTCAGGAGGTAATGGGAGTGATGGGGAGTGGCTGTAAATGCAGATGAAGTTTTGTTCACCTGCCCTTCCACTGACCTCCCGCTGTACAGCTTGGTTCCTAACTAACAGGAATATTGACCAATACTGGTCCCCATGGTCCAGGAGCTGAGGACCCCTGCTTTAGGGAATCTTAGCAAAACCAAAAAGTCATTTGCTATAAATGATTGAAAACTCTTAAATGATCTACAAATATTAATCAAAACTTTGCAATCCCTTTGATTTAAAAGCACAAAGAGAAATATAAGAGGTTTTAAAAAATTAATAGCAAAAAATGGACCCTTAGCAGAATAAATTGTTTCTCCTAAATCAGGAAAGGAAAACCCAAATTTGAATACATCTCTTTGAAGAACCTTCAGATCATTCCAGATGAAAAATCTGTACAAGAGAATGAAAGCACAGCCTTTCTCCCTAGTTTTAACAGATATTAATTTTCCTTTGAAGTTATGCATTTGAAGGTTTTCATATCAAGAAATACTGTAATTAGCTAAGGGCAATTGCCACCCACTTATTTAGACCTAATATGTTGCTATGAGAACATTTTATAACAAATTTCTGGATAAATTAAAAACTAAGATAAATCCTAGTTAGTTGTAAAAAAAATAATAAACTTTATATTCAAAGTCTTGGGGGGGGAGCAAAATTAATATAAAAACTTCACTTTTCAAGTATTAGAATTCTGTGTGGAAGCTTACACCTTTAAACTTATCTTTGCAAAGACATTCAACCAATCACTTCAACAGTTTAACCATTGCAAAAAAAATTAACATACACATTTTTTTCTCCAAATACTTATTTGTTACTATGTGCAAAATTAATACTTTGGGGCCTTTTAAGATATCTCTGTGAATTTTTATTCTCGGTAAATTCTGGTACCTGAAATAAAATACCCTTTGAAACAAACATATAACTGTCTCTTTCTGCTGGTAAACATACAATAGGATTCAGAACCTTATCCCTAAAAATGGCCCAGGTTTTTTCAGTGAATTTTTCTGAATAGATCTTGAAAATAATAATGGCAGTGTCAAACTTAGGCAAAGAACTATTTTATATCTCACACCAAATTCTCTCTGAATGCAACTCATAGCCGCAGACTTGGGTCTCCAATTCACATATTTTCTTTCTGAAGGCGGAAATCATAGAGCCATAATCCTGTGTTCGGGTGTTGTGGCCTCACCTTCTGGTTGATACACGTTCTCAAAGAGACCTGGGCCCTTCCCACCTTTTCCCACTTGCAGAAGAAAACAAATTTCCAGCTTGCTTCTAAAACTCATAGAAACTACCGTGGCTGCAGGTATTTATTTTGTAAACTTTAAGTCCAAAAGATTGCTAATTTTATGTGCTGTTAAAAATAAAAATAAAAAAATAAGGAGGAACACAAAATAAATATGAGATTAGTGGATATCAGTTAATACTGGATGGCTTAGACACTTAAACTCAATCAGGAGAGGGGAGATAAGATATAGAAGACCAAACTAAGCTAAAGAAGTATTACCAAGGTAGTAAGATGATGCAGAATTTACCAAGAGAAGTTTTTCTTTTTTACTTCTGAGAAAATACCATTATTCTTGATTTTTTTGGTCTAGATTCTAAAAAATGATTAGATTATGGGTATTTTTTTAAAATGAGGACATGTAAAATTGTTTTGCAGATACTATTAATTGACTAAACTTTTTTTTTTTTTTTTTTTGGAGAGATTTTCGCTATAGGGCGCGTGAGCTCGCCAGATAGAAAGAGAGAGAGAGATAGAAAGTGATAAATGGCCCCCCAGGGGGGATGGTCATGCCGCAATCCCTTCTCCTCCATTCTCCTCTCGGGATCTTGGGCATGCACGCACACGTGCCCGACGTTTTAAGCCACCGGGTCCGGGACGCGAACTGTGGTCAACTACATGGGAGTCCAGCGACACAGCCATTACGCTAACTGCTGGTCCCGACTAAACCATTTTATTAGGCACACACACACTTCATATACAAACATGTAATATACCTAATATAAATGAGAACATTTAATTATTGAATTGAATAGTAATGATAACAATTCCTGATTTCTTGAGTCTAAGCACTCAAGAAAATCAGCATAAATGTGCTTTTATGAAAGTCAAGGATGGACTCTAACATGGAAAATACTCAGATTCAATATCATATTTCACATACCAAGGTGTAATTCTATAAAACTAGCTATATTAGGTTTCTTATGTAAATATTTAGCACAAATACATTTACACGGTTCTATTTTTCTTCCACAGATTTAGTATAATTTGCATTTATTTATTTTTAAAATGTTTATTTATGTTTGGTTGTAACAAATATAATTTTTGGTCAAAAGTATTAAGCAATGAATTTCACATACTGCATAGAATGTAATCCATGTGGTAAAGATATAAATCCTCTGTGAAGACAGCAACATTGGCCTACATGAAAATTTTAAATTAGATTAAATATGCTTAAAAAGATGTACTAAATGCTAATGTATGGAGTCTGAGTTTTACAAATGTTAACTTAGTTATATTTCTTGTAGGAGCTATACACACACTACTTTTATTTACTATCTCTAGATGCAAAATGTAAACTATAAGATAGGTAAGAGTAGAACAATGAGGACATCTGGAGGTCATTGTGGAAATATACATGCTGCTTTTCTTACACAGAGTCCACACTTAATTCATGATTTTAAAAAACAGAACCTTCAAGCTAAGTTAATACTTCCAATAGAAAATGTGTTTTTTTTTTTCTTTATAAAAACAAAAAGCAAAGTTTCTTAAAGCATTTGGGTTCACTGCAAAGTATTCTTTCTCTCTCCCTGTCTCTCTCTCTCTCTCTCTCTCTCACACACACACACACACACACACACACTAAAAAGAAGTGGTGGCTTTTGCTAAATTATAGGTAAAATTTTAACATAAGCACAAAGACTGTACAAAACACTTTAGCAAAACTATCTTAAATATGTCTCCGCAGTAGTAAAATAAAAGTTCTCCGCAAACATTGGTCCAATGTACTTTATGAATGGACTGTGTACTTCTGTTCCACTCCTACTTCTAGAAAAATAGAAATAACCAGACACAGGAGGTCTTGAGTTGCCCACCTATGTCTCTTCCTACACACTTTAAATTAAAGCTGGACTTGCAGGACCGTTGGCAGAATGTTCTGGCCCCTCGGTGCCACTCGTGGGTTCAGAACCTCCAGCCTCTTGGTTTCCTTCATGGGTCTTCTCTGGAGCACCAGGTGGACTAACACAATTATCATCCTGCTTTGTTCTGTTCACTTCGTTATCAAATTCAATTTTGTCTTCTTGGTTGTTTTTCTTCACTTGTCCATTCTGAGCGGGGTAGGTGCTGGCGATGACATCATAGAGGAATTCATATTGCTCCTAATAAAGGAAGAAGCAAGAAATTACACGGTGAAGGTTCATGTACTTATTTCCATGTCAGATGAAAGTGAGCAAGAACAAATCGTGTACTTGGGGAAGTCCCAAGTGACAGAAAATGCTCTGATGTGTTGATATGTTCTCATAAAGCGCATCCTAGCAAAAGTCATTATTTTGAAATTCCAAGCCTTTTCCCCGAACTGCCAAGGAAGTCTTCCAGAATCAATAGGAAATTTATAGGCAGAAATGCAAATAAAAGAGTCTACTCCTTTCTATGAAGAGGCTCAGAGCCAAAGTTTTGATATATTGTCAATGATTATATAGAATTTTCTGGTATTCATTTTGATTACTGAGTTTTTATTATTTTCCTATTATCCTTTTTGCCTTCAGATAGAATGACCTCAAGATTTCCTTGTTTTGTTCTACTCCATAGCATGCATATAACATAACATTTATCACAGCATTTGTGACATGATTAGGGACATAGTTTGTCACACAAGGCCCTACTCCATGGTTGTTCTATACTCAGATTTTTTCTGACAAGTGTTTTCAAATAATCGTTTACTCAATGCACATGATGCATTCAATATTTAATGATAAAGTTTTTAAGAAGAACTTTTTTTTTTTTTTTAAGAAAGAGATTTTTGCTATAGAGTGCATGAGCTCACCAGAGTGACAGAAATCACCGTCCAGGGGGGATGGCCACATCATAATCCCTTCTCCTCCATGCTTCTCTTTGATTTTGAGCATGCATGCACATGTGCCCAGCATGAGTTTTAAGCCACCAGGTCTGGGACTCAAACCATAGTCCACTACGTGGGAGTCTAGGAACATAACCATTATGCCATCTACTGCCCCCCCCCCAAAAAAAGAACATTTCTTCCTTTCTTTCTTTAAGAGTGATTTTTGCTATAGGGCACATGCACTTGCCAAAGAGACTGAGAGACAGAAAGCAAGGAATTACCCCCCAGCGGGGACAGCCACGCAATCCCTTCTTCCCCATTTTCCTCTCAGGATTTTGGGCATGTACATACAGGAGCCTGGTGTGAGTTTTAAGGAACCAGGTTTGGGACTTGGACCACGGTTGACTATGTGGAAGCCCAGTGACATAACCATTATGCCATCTGCTGTCCCAAAGAACGTTTCTAAATGACTCAATTTTCTTATAGTTTTGAAAGGCTGACTGCAGGGCACTTTTTAAAAATGTGCTTCATAGCAACACCAAACTAGTGGTCCCTCCCCTGCATGCTACAGAGTGTCTCAGTCCCGTGTCTGCCCAAGATGCTCTATGTGTGTTTGTCCTCTCGGCTAATGCTTGTGTGTAACTGAGAATCAGAGTGTGGAGGCCAGGTGGTGGCACAGTGCTAACCCTACTAGGCCCACATGGGAAAGGTCCTGGTTGCACATCCCAGGTTCTCCATGAGGACACCAGGTTTGCACGTATGCCCGTGGTCCAGCTGACTGTGCCTATGGGTAGAAAACAGTGTGAGGACCCTACTTGGGGTGTCTGTCTCTCTTTTCCTGTGTTACATGGGGGGTAAAAAAAGAAAAAGAAAGAAAGAAAAGAAAAGAAAAAACAAACAGACTTTAAACACACACACATACATACACACACACACACACACACACACACACACACCAGAATCACAGGAGGAATCACCTGCTTCAGGAACTCTATCCTGATTGCCATCAGGTTCAATTAAATGCCCTCATTCACATTCTTTTTATAATTTCTCTGTCATTTACTTAGTACTTTGTTTAATAAATATTTGACTTTTCCCCACATTAAACCGTGAACCTCTTAAAAGCAAGGGCACATAGAAGGCACTTAGCACATTTTTAGAATAAATATATACGAGGTCAATAGATGCATGATTAAAAGCTTCTTAGACTTTAATGAGCAATTCAGTTTACACTGTGATTAATTACTCAGATGATCATCTGTGGTTACTATCATGTCAACAGGATACATGATTAATGGAATTTACAAAAACAGGACACATATTTTTCTCCTGCATCCATGTCTCCTAGCTGTGTGAATGCAGGCCCTTTTAACAAGAAGTGGTCTCCTAGCCCTAAATCTGGGCTGGCATTGGGCTTTATTTGGTTAATAAAGTACGGGATAGGTCATGCTATGCCAATTTCAAGCCTGGGCTCACACACATTTGTTCTCCCTCTTGGGACCCTGCCACTTGTATGTGACTGAGCCTGGGCTGCTCAGGAAGAGAAGAGACATGTGGCTCTGTTGCCACGCCGCTCATAAATACACTGTGGACCGATTTGCCCCTTCTACTTCTAGAAAGATAGAAATAACAGCTCATATGAAGTTGCCAATTTAGGTGTTTTTTTTTTTTTTTTAAGAATTACTTTATTTAACTTTATTTATTCATGTATTTTTTTTTTTTTTTGACCAGAAAAGGACACAGTCAGAGAGAGAGAGGGAGAGAAAGAGAGAAGGCAAGACACCAGATCCAGGACTCGAACTATGGTTGGTCATAAGGGAGTCCAACGCCCTTAACCACCATGCCATCGGCTGGCACCACCCATTTGTGTTTAAGTAGTTAACTTTTAGCCAACCTCAACAAGCAGACCGCAGTCCACACATCAAACTACAGCAGATGTATGAGCGAGCTCTGTCCCAGCTGGTGAGCCCAATGAAATCCACAGATCAACCCCATGGGTCTGTAGACTGATAAACTATAATTAGTATTAAAGTCACTGAATTTTGGGGTGGTTTGTTACACAACAACATTAATTGACACAGGATTAAATGAAGGGAAGCTGGAGATTCATAAATATTTAAGGTAATGTTCTTCATAAACTGTGAAAACAAAATGCTGGGGCCAGCAGATGGCATAATGCTTACATTGCTGTACTCTCACATAGTCAACCACAGTTCAAGTCCCAGTCCTGGTAGCTTAAATCCATACCAGGTGTGTGTACGTACACGCTCAACATCCTGAGAGGAGAATGGAGGAGAAGGGATTGCCATGTGCTGTCTCTCCTGGGGGGTGATTTCTCTCTATCTTTCTGTCTCTCAAGGGTAAGCGCACACACCCTGTAGCAAAAATCTCTCTCAAAAGCAAAACGAAACAAAACACTAGTAAACTCTAATGAGATCTCTTATTTATAGCAACAGCAATTCAACATGAATTATCTTGTAAAAATAGAAGAGAGGAAAGAAGACTAGAAAAGAGAAGGAAAGGAAAAGGAAGGCAAGCAAAGTAAGAAAAGGGAGAACAAAGAAAAGGAAAAGAGAGGAGGGGAAAAGAAGACAAACTAAAAATAAAAATGTGAATCACGTTTAGAAGCGATGGTGAGGAATACTTACGAACGTGGGGATCATTCCTGGTCTAGATTTGCGTAGAGATTTTACTACTTGGAAAACATCTACCACCTCTTCAGTTTCTGCACATTCCAAGAGATTTAACAAAGCACAAAATATTCCTGTTTGGTGAGATCCATCTCTACAGGAGGAAAAGTAAGTTTACTTTTTATAAGAAAAATAATTTCAAAATAAACTTTATGATAAAAGAAAAATGGTATTTGAATAAAAATTAAGAGGAAATATCTATGTTTAATTTATGTTTATTCTATTATTTTATTCCAGTCTCTTAAGAGGCAAATTATTTTGCAAAATGCACTTGAGTATTTGGGCAAATGTGTATTGTAGACTATGATAATCTTGTAATTTCAAAAAACTATTTGTTTTAGGCTTTAAAAATTCACTTTTTTTCTATTTAGCCATTGATGGATTTTAGTGCACTGCATTTCCATCTGAAGTTGTTAGTACAAATATCATAATATCAATTTGATGGATGAAGAAACCAAGATTTGGGGAAGATAAAGCCATAGTTAGAAACTGGTAAAACCAGAAATGTTATATCTTACATTTTTAAAATTACTAGACTACATACATCTCCTCCCTTACTCTTCTGCTGCCTTACCACATTTTACAAATGCTCCTACTTCTGCATGATTAGGAAAGTGACACTTGAAGCAATTAGTCATTAAAAGGGGGCAATCAAATGATTTACCAACCTAGGGGAGCTATAAATCATTATAATAAAGATTCAATTTAAACAATATGCTAGCAGAATACTTTTTTGCATGTAACTAAATAGGTATGCAATCCTACTCTAATTAATACATTAGTTTTAACCTACACTTCCTTTCTTCAGCTTTCTTTCCACATACATTTTTTTTCTCTGAAAATGCAAATAAATGCTGAAAAGTAGCATAAATCTAAGAGCTTGATTATGACATATGCAATTCCAATGATAATAATTAAGCCTTAAAAAAATCTAAAAATTTATATATATATATAAATGTATGTATAGATAGATAGATAGATAGAGTTTTTGCTATAAGGTGTGCATGTTTGCCAGAGAGAAGGAGAGAGAGAGATGGTGAGAGGGAAAGTGAGAAATCACCCCCCCCAGGGGGGCGGGTTATGGCCACATCAAAATCCTTCCACTCCATTCTCCTCTCAGGATTTTGGGCACGTATGCACGCAAACCCAGCATGATTTTCAAGCCACCAGGTCTGGGACTCAAACCACAGTTGGCAGTGTGGGAGTTCAGCACCTAACTACCTCACCATCTGCTGGTCCCTTCACTATATTCATTTCTCTTTTTGCTTTTCTCTTTTCCATGTTTCATCTACTTTAGCGTTCTTTTTCATGGAAGTGTTTCATACTAGGCATTCTTCTTTTATCATCTCTTATTTAGAGTAGATAACATAGCAGCTCCTACTGATGAAAGTTAAAGGTCTACATAACAGAAAGCAATAAAAGCAAGTATCAGTATCAATATTATAAAAATCTTTGCCCTTTTGGGTCAGTTTAGAAAAACTCAAATGATTTTCAAGATGGGTTTTGAGGGAACCAGCAGTTAGCGTAATGGCTATGTCGCTGGACTCCCACGTGGTCGACCGCAGTTCATGTCCCGGACCCGGTGGCTTAAAACTCACTCCAGGCACGTGTGCGTGCATGCCCAAGATCCCGAGAGGAGAATGGAGGAGAAGGGATTGCGGCATGACCATCCCCTCTGGGGGGTGATTTCTTGCTTTCTGTCTCCATGTCTCTATCTGTCTGTCTGGCGAGCGCATGCGCTCTATAGCGAAAAAAACTCTCAAAAAAATAAAAATAAAAGATGGGTTTTGAATCAAAGTTATGAAGCATTGAGATTTCAGTTAACTTAAGAAATGCTTATTGAAGACAAAGCATTCAGTCCTCTGGATTCTGTAACCTCTAATAGCTTGGATTAACCCACACGAATACGTATTTAATGTAATAGCCATCTTTTTATCTGTTCATGCACCCTCCATTTACTCATTAACTCAGGCCATATGCCAGTCCAGACTCTATACTAGGTCCTGAGGAGTCAGAGATGATATGACACTCAGTATTAAGAAATGCAGCCTGGGACTAGCAGTTGGAGTAATGGCTATGTCACTGGACTCTCATGTAGTTGACTGCAGTTTGAGTCCCGGCCCCACTGGCTTAAACTCATGCTGGGTGCATGTGTGTGCGTGCCCAAGATTTCGAGCGGAGAATGGAGGTGAAGGGATTGAGGTGTGGCCATCCCTCCTGGGGGTGGTTTCTCGCTTTCTGTCTCTCTGTCTCTCTGGCAAGTGCACGTGCTCTATAGCAAAACAAAACAAAACAAAAACAAAAAAACTCTCAAAAAAAAAGAAAAAAAGAAATGCAGCCTAAAAATCATTGCATTATCATCTAATCCTGCCTATCATATTTCTATGTAATAGAACATAACAAAGTGACTGTCTCTGTAAGCAGATCTTCACAGTGGTCATTTGTTTTATATGTCAGGCTAAAAAGAATTCAAGAGAAAGCATGCATCAAGAAGTCAAGCATCATGTGTTTTTTAAAAAAAATATTTATTCAACTTTACTTATTATTATTATTTAACTTATTTTAGGGTATGTGTGTTCATCAGAGAGAACAAGTGAGAAAGCAAGCCTTCAGGTTCAGGCCTCAAACCTCTGCCAGCCATGTAGAAGTTCAGTACCTTCACCATCACACCACCTGCTGGCTCAACATCATGTGACATTTTTCAGAGTGTATCTTATCAATGCCCACCCACCTGCAATGAATAAGGAGAGGCACGCTCTTGTGATACTTATTTCCTTCAGTGGGATTTTTCTTGGGAAGTTTTTGTTTGAGGGCCTGAATCAGAGAGCTCAGTTCCTTGG